AACTGGGAACTCCTCAGGTTGGAAGAGTGGAGTAAGCTGTACCCTGGACTGTTGCTCTGCACTGAGCTCTCCGTGTCATCTGGCTTAACCCTGCATTTCTAGTCCTAGGTTTGGTCAGAGCAGTGTTGGGCCCCAGGGGAGGTGGGGCCAAGTTGACAGCTCTGTCCCAGTGAGGCTGTTACGTGCTTTGTGTGGAGGTAGAGATAAAAGGGCCTTTCTGCCTTCAGTGCTCAGCATAGCTGGATTTCTTGAGGAAAAACCATAAAGTCATATAGAACAGTTTTGGTTGGAAGAGACCTTCAAGATCATCCAGTCCAACCTTTGTCCTAGCTCTATCAACACCACCAAACCATGTCCCGAAGTACAACATCTACCCGTCTCTTAAACACCTCCAGGGATGGTGACTCCACCACCTCCCTGGGCAGGCTGTTCCAATGCCTGACAACACTTTCAGCAAAGAAATTCTTCCTAATATCCAACCTGAACCTCCCCTGGTGCAGCTGGAGGGTTTAAGATTCCAATTCATTGAAACCAGGAGGAATAAAGGTTTGAAACCATTAGATATATACAGAAAATTAATTTAAAATCAATTATGGCAGCTCTTCCACAAAAAATTAAAAAGGCAACAGTAGAACAGAGAGCTGAATTATATCCCTATATACATCTGAAAATTAAATCAGAGACTGCTTTATGCATGGGCCAAGTTACACCTCAGTGTCTTTCTTGTAGAGAGGGGCCCAAAACTGGACCCAGCGCTCGAGGTGCGGCCTCACCAAAGCCAAGTGCAGGGAATCAGTCACCTCCCTGTTCCTGCTGGCCACACTATTGCCGATACAGGCCAGGAATACAGCAAATACCTTCTCTTGGATCTTCCCTTGCTCCTGTGTAGGTATAAAGCTACTGTGAAATGCAGGATCTAACTCCTCCTCCTCAGTGCAGTGGGCTCAGCCTGGGTGCAGAGGGGAGGATGCGGTGGCCTTTGAACCGTCCTAACAGGAGCGCGGGTGCTCCCCAGAAGGTGCCCGTTGCCCGTTCCCTTTGAAAGCAGTGCACAGGCTGAACCTGGACGAGATCCTGGTTGCTCTTCGCAGTGACGTGGCTGCTTGTGTCTTGCAGAACGTGGAGATGCTCAGCAGCCTGGACTCTGCCTCTGTTCGAATCATCAAGCCCTTCCCCGCAGCGCAGTCGACCAGCCGGCACCAGCCGCTGCAGCCCATCACGGCCGTGCCCGCCGTCGCGGCGGCGCCGAAGCAGGACCACCAAAGAATGGACACTATTCAGGAGGACCCAAGCACTGACTCTCACATTGACGAGGACGGGTTTGAGAAGGACCCTTTCCCAAATAGCAGCTCGGCCGCCAAATCTTTTGAGGACTTGACAGACCATCCTGTCATTAGGAGCGAGAAAGCTTCGTCCTTTAAACTGCAGCGCCAGAACCGGGTGGACAGCAAAGAAACAGAATGCTAGTGTCGTCCTGCCTTCTAAATGTGTGACTCCTGTCTGCAAAACAAGGATCTAAAACCATTTCATTTATATAAATATAAATATATGTATATATATTTTTGTGAGGGAGTGGGAGAAATAAGGAAGTGACCTACTGCAGATGCTGGTCATGTGTATGACCTTCCTTAAATTACACTTACTAGAGCATTATATCTTTTAAAAAGGAAAATCCAAACTAAAACTGGCTTGTTTTTGAAGCTTTTTGGATTTGTTTTCCTATTTCCTTGACCTTTAACATTTCCTTCAACCTGTGGTGCAAACCCAAATATCCTGCTGGATATTGGATTGTGTATATCAGCCTTTTTTATAATTTAATATTTTGTAGTCTGACAGCACTGATGGACAAAATTAAGGGGCTTTTAAAAACAAAATGAAAACACTGCCATATCTTCTGTATAGAGTAGGTGATTCTGCAGTTTAAGGTACATGTAAGCAAAACCCTAAACAGGTGCCTTGAACAGAATGAGAGTAATGGAACAGATGAAAATGCACTCTCGCAGCATTGAATGAGGATGTGTAACTGGAGCCAAGATTCAGATCAATAAAAATGAAAAGATCCCAGAGAGGCTGTTAAACCTTACCCGAGGCATGGCAGTGCTCCTCTAGCACAAAACTGACTTGCCTCTAGCAGTGAGGAGGTCTTCATGTCATGAGGGCAGAGACAGGCTGTCACTGGGAGTTTCCTGCTCTGCACTGAGGCTGGTGTGTTGCAGGTGTCTGGTAGGAGAACAGAGTGTAAGGGGAGAAACCATTTTTGTGGATTAAGACTGTGTTAACCAGCTGTTTACAGCGGTTTCGGTACAGAAATGTTCCTCTGACTGTTGTTTTGAAATAGGTAGCACTGTTGAGATGTTCAAAGAGCTGAGCCTCAGTTTTCTGTGATCTATGCAGCCATTGGAAGCTCCTACTGCATAAATAAATGGGGGGGGG